TTTGCTAAATGACTTGACTATGCAAACTATGTGTTTAAATGAAATTAATCGCAATGTGATGATTGGAATGCAAAATTGATTGTATTCAATAAAATTAGAAAACACTAGGACACAAATTCGTATGTAATAATAACTTGAAACCATAATTTTACAATCTGACAACACAATTTGATTATTGACGACTAAATGCTCAACACACTCTCTCGAGTAATATTGAACCTACTTTTATGTACTACTAGCCTATATTTCTATGACAGATGCATATACATAAGAGTGTACGGGGTTTTATGAGTAATTAATGAATCACGCAAAGCATAGATGTGTATTTCTTTCCCTATCGGACCCTATGATGATCTATACCTTGTCAAATCTATTTCCCTTCTCTCGAATGTAAGAAATAAATCACTACACATCACATAATCGCATGCACTCAATCATGGACAAAATTAGTGTATATAAATCATTCAAATAATCAAATATGCGTTTAATTATCAAATTGAAAAAATTAAAATCCAAAGATCATATTACATAGTTCATCGATCTCCTAGTGCAAGAAAACTTAGCCTAACTTTGAGAATCTAAAGGAATACATGAATTCTTGAAAATAAAACATCATCGGATATTGAAATTTGATGAAATCTTGATGTTCTTCTTGAAATTCCGTGTTGATCTCCCTCAATTTGGTCTCCAAGAAGTATTTTGTTCTTCTCCAATGCGTTCTCTCCCGAAATTTGATGATTCTAAGTTTTTATATCGCGTCCAAATCGTCTTCCAATAGAGTTATAACGTAAAAAGAAAATTGCAGACCTGGCCCCCGAAATATGCCTATGCGACCGCATAGGTATAAATTTTTGTCCAAAAAAATTGCTGCATCACCCTATGCAGTCGCATAGGATGGACTTTTCACACCTTCCATTTTGGTCCTCAAATTTTATTCAATCACTTCTTGGCCTCTTTTCTTATATCTTCTCATTCCAAGGTTCAAGTATGGTCACCAATTGGTACTTGGCACGATAAAATCTTTGATTGCTCCTTTGGTTCATCTTTTAGATATTTGTACTTTGGTCCCTGAACTATCACTTTGATTCATTTTGGTCATTTTTTCTTCTTTTTCTCGTGAATTCCATCAAGTCCATCAACAAACCCTACAATCCAAGAATTAAATGAATTTAGGTCACATTTTAAGCACTTTGATCGTATGTTAGTCATGTTTGTGAGTTATATAAGTACGTAAAAACACGCTTACCAAATTCTCCAAATTTGAACTGTTGTTTGTCCTCAAATAAGATTGTGACTTAACTCTCATCAAACATGGCTCAATAACCTTCCGTATTTCAGGATTGGAATTCAGTAATTAACACAGGAAATAGTTTCAATAGTGCGAGAATAAAATCAACCTTCACTTGTCAGATGCAAGACTCACCGTGTGGGTGTGAACTCATACCAGCATATCAAGCTCATAATTGGTTTAATCCCGACCCCAAAATGGTCAACTATATCCTTACTTTGCTCGAGAGATGCACAACCCCCCAAACTTATTTTTTTCACTCAATTATCTCGGGGTTGTGTTTTAAAGTTAAAAATTTAGGTAACTGTATTCCTTACCCTCTCTTTGTTTGGATAGATCTCACTATCACAAGTTCACATGTCAATAAATGAAGGCTCTCCTAAATTTGATTGCTTCAACACTTAGGATTAAACTTAGTTATTTGCCTCACCTTGAAGGTGTGATTTTTATCAACCAAATGTCCAAGGGCTTCATCCATACTATCGTACTATGTATTTTAAATTTTCTGGATTTTTTGATGTCATCTTATCATTTGCTTTCTATATAACCCCTGTAACGAGTTTTGGGCCGTGACTCCCAAACCAGTTGGCCTTAGAGCACCAGATTTTACACCCTTGCAGGCTTATTCACTCGAGTTATAAAGGCTCGATCAGATGACTTTTTATTGACCTATTTCCCTCTTGCTTTCTATATGACCCCTGTAACAAGTTTTGGACTGGTGACTCCCAAACTAGTTGGCTTTAGGGAACCGAATTTTGAGATATCCTTAAAGGCTTACTTGCTCGAGTCATAAAGGCTTGGAAATGTGTTATATTTTCGTAACCTAGATTATTCCCTTTATTATTTTTCTAGACATTTGGTCTCTAAAATCAACTCCCAATTTAAGACTTTCACCCAGTATTCATCTCACTTGTCTAGGCAATCCACATAGCGTAATATATGCACGGAGCCCCCACTTATCTTAATGTTCCCCTCTAATTGTAAACCATCTCCAAATTATTGAACAATTTTTGGTTTATAGGTCTCCATTCATTTATGGCTTAATCTAATCGAGGTTTTCTGGTTTCTCCTGCTTTATTCAAATCCAATCACTCACCTAACATGTATGGCATGAGTGGCGTGCATATGGAATGTCAAGTACTACATCAACAAGTACCAGTTAATCAAATTCTGCACCATATCCACATTTCCTATCACATACCTATTCCAATAATCACATTATTATCGGCAAAGCTATCAAACCTACACAAGCATGCAATGAACTTAATACAACATATTAATCCAATAACTACTCATCAAGCATACAATATGCAACCAATAACAGAAAGAATTGATGGACTGTGATCGTTTCAAAGTGGATTACATTACATGCCGATAATTTAGTTTCCAAAACATGTCACCATTCAAAATATGCCACCACCCCCAAACTTATACAGTACATGGCCCTCAATGTGAAAAGTAAAGAGTTAAAAAGGCATAATTTGAAGGACAAGTGCAAATTAGAAATAACAAAATGAGTTAAATAAAACTTCCCTTATCACTGGGGTGGTGGTGACTGATAATTGGGTCCCGCAGTGTCCTCGGCTGGTGGAGGTGAGAATAGGCCAAGATCTACCTTAATAGGTCCGACTACTGACCTGCTCTGCCTGCATAGTTCTCATCATACTACTCTGTGCTCTAGCTTCACCCTCTATGCTACCCATTCATTCCCAAGTGTCATTTACCCTTATCTGTATGCCATCCACTCTGCCCACATACATACTCAGCCGCTCGTTCATAGTCTCCATCTCCCTCTTAGCTGATCGGGCCTCCTGATAAGCAAACTGTGCCATGGTTTGAGTGGTACTAATATCACGTCAGTCGTCAAGGCCCCTAGAGCTTGCTGGATACCCTGTATGTTATGGCTGGTCCCTATGAGAGTTGCGAATGTCTGACGCAATAACTGAGTATCAACTCCAATTGGTGGTGGAGGAGCATGTGGCATCTCTTCATCTGCATTTTCCTATCCTGTTGTGGCTTGTTGCTGCCTACGTCGCTCATTTTCTTCCTTCTCCCTATGCTTTATCCTGGCTCTTTTCTAAGCCTCCAGTATAGTACGCTTTATAGGGGGACTAGGTTTGGCAGGTACTTTCCCCGGTGGGACAGTGACACCTGCAGCTTTACATATTCCACTAATCAGGCTGGGAAAGATCAAAGAACTATGTCTATCTCCATAAATGAAATGTCACAATATTTTTTTGACACATGAAATATGAAAAAAAAAAATAGGCTTTCTACATAATTATATGTATCTGGGGGATTAATTTGGAAAACTTTTCAAAAAAGAAAAATACTTTCTTTTTGTTAAGACCAATTAAATGAAATGGAAAAAAGAGAGGGATGAAAGGCTTTCATAAAAAATCTCGTAGAAAAAGTACAGTCAAAATATGGTTTTTGGGGGTGGAATTTGTGGTAAGATAAAAAATTTTTTTGATCAATTATTTGATAATTATTAGTAATAGAAATTTTTTAAATTTAAAATGGATCAGTCCCTATTAACCGCTCGGGCATCGACCCAGGAAGAAGAAAAGGAATTTTCTACAAAAAAAAGCTCGTTGGATGAACTGCATTGCTAATACAACAAAATATTTTCTTTGTGCGTCGACTCTAGAAAAGATTTTAATTTCAATTTTTTTTCTTTCCACTCAGAACCTGAAAAAGATGGATTATTTTGTGAAAGAATTTTTGGGGATCGTATCCATACGATTTTGCACTTCTCGACAAATATAGGAATAATCCTTTTTATTCTCAAAATGCCTAGTCTTCGACACAAGAAAGCGGTATTTTGTTTGATGGAAGAAATCGAAGAATTTCTTCCCCATGATTTCGGAATTCGTGTTATCAAAGGATTTCCTGCAATTATTTCTAGTATGAGGATTTCCAGAAGAAGATGCCATTGGAAATATTACCTGAATGGTATTTCTTTCCCGTATTTCAAATGGTCCGTCAGAAAACCAAAGGGAGGGTTAATTTCGATTTTTTTTGCTTTCATTCTACTTGTCCCCTGAACTAAATTCTTACTTCCAAAATATTTTCTTTTTGGGAATCAATTAATCCCTTTCTTTCTATCGAATCGATCATACGAGATGAAATACCCAAACAATATATTTGGTCATAGCAGAGCGTGGCTAGATCTTTCTTATTTTCCCGAACCAAGTGATGGATGAAACCAGCTGTACGATTTTTAAATGTTGTTCTATGTGAAGTCGGCTTGATATTGTGGCACAAAAACAACCACATGATTGCTATGGGTGGAGTAAGCTCAATATGGTGCCATTTAGTTGTTCGGAGTGGCCAAGCATTCTCTCTCCCCATTAAGACCTCTACCACTTTGTTCCAATTGAATTTGCTCGAGATGGGGGTTATGTTGTTCCACGTGAGCTGATAATAATCATGGATAACCTCAAGTGAGAACATAATCCACTGTCCCCGAACCCATGTTTGGTGCAAATGGGCAGAACCCGATGTATCAATGTCAGTATTGAAATTTGCATAGAACTCTGCAACCAATTTTCGTACACAGGGTGTGGTTGCTCTACTATTTTCTCCCATCCACATTGCTCGACCATAATGGCCAATTCAAAGCCAGGAAAATCATCCAATTTTACACAACGCTTTGGAATTCATGTCCACCAACTTACAACGTTGGAATACCGGGCTGCTGTTTTGGAGTTCAGGAATCTTCGTAAATCCCCATATAGCTCTTTAGTATATGCCATCTTAGATGATGTTTATCTTTTCCTTTAGAAGTTCTTTTTGGTGGCATTCTACAAAAATAAAAATTCAATGTCAAAATCATAGAATGCAATGAAAAAGGCATGTAGAAAACAAAAAAATCGATTTTGATGCACGAATCACCCAAACTTACTCCGAGAAGCATGTATAGCACATTGGTGTACAATATTCAAGACATGATGTTCAAGATAGTAAAAATATTGCACCTATAGGAAAAACTAACAACATTAGGCCCAAACATGCACATTATGAAAATTTGACCCATGATCGAGTATGCACTTTCAACCCCAGACATCATCGGGAAATAGCGAAATTTTCTAGACAATCTCTAGACATATGGAAGTATTCAATGTACTCCAGCACACATTCAAATTTCAAGTTGATCAGAGGTCCTTTGGTTAGGTAACTGAAGAGGCTAATTAGGTGACGCAGGGTGCCGTGACCTAGCATGTCGTGCCTACATTATGCAATTTGGGATTTTATGTTTTACATGGCCTTTCATGTGATATCTTATTACCCAATTTCTATTCACATCAATTGTAATGCACGACAAAAGCAAAGTTTACAAAATTACATAAAACTCGTCTTTAATCGAACAGTTTGTGTGCATTTTGAAGTTTTCACAACTTTGGTGTATGAGGCTTCCTAAACTAGCTTCCATTGTGACACATCAATCACAAACATAACACAACATTCAATCTTCACCAATTTTTGGAAAATAAGATAACTAAAACCTCCCAATTTGAAGTTAAACAATTAGGGTTTAGAGACTTTTACATTAAACTTGGTGTGAATGTGGGTGAATTAGTTACCTTCGATCACTTGGATTCTTGATAGTGTGATAAATTGTGCACTTGATTGTTTTGAGTGTGTTAATTGTGTTGATTTGTGTGTTGGGTATGTGAGTTTCTTGTGTTTGAGAGCGTGAGATAGAGAGAGTTGGGCTAGAGAGAGAGATGTGACTTGAGAGAGTGAGTGTTTTGTGTATGTGTGGTGTTTTTAAGTTAAAAACTGATTTAATTTTTTTTTTGTGAGTCCTCTATGCGACTGCATAGAGTAGTGGGTCAGGGCCAAAATTGGCCCTAACCATGTCTATTCAACTGCATAGGTGTTTATTCTATGCGGCCAAATTCTTTTTTTTTTCATATGAACATGAAAAAGTACCAGTACTTTTGACTTTTAAATACACCACTCGACTCACATCTCCTCAAAATATTTTGTTTTCGATGGTAAATTTGACCTGCCTTTTCACATCTCCAAAGATAACTTTTGAAACTTTTTCAACCACATGGGATATGTGCCGGCCAATGGATGTGATATCAAAACCAAAATTTTGAATTGAATTTAAACCACTCTCGAAAATTTTACGAAAAATGACTGTGTGCCTTGAAATGCGTGAATGTCACGCCCAATCACCCAACAACAAATTCTACCAATCTTAACTCGTGCTCAATGCCTTGAGACTCATGTGGATAGTGCTTAGCCTCATGCATTGATGATCGATGACTTACTGACTAAAAATGCAAAACGTAAAATTGAAAAATTCCTAAGCTAATGCAGAAAGCAAAATAAAATAAACTAAAATGATACAGTGGGATGTCTCCTACTCAGTACTAGTTTATAGTCAATAGCTTGACTTTTCCACTTTTGCTTCAATTAGTCATCTTGAGTTGAATGGTGGACTTTTGCTTAGAGAAGTTCCCGTCCCACTAGTGTTTCAGCCTTTGCCCATTAACTGTGAATGCTTTTGTTTCATAGCTGACCTGTATAGCTCCATATGACAGAACTTTAGTGACAGCGTAAGGACCCAACCACCTTGATCTTAATTTTCCAGGAAAAAGCTTGAGTCTCGAGTTATATAACAGAACTTTTTGCCCCACTTTTAACTCTCACCTCTGAATATGTAGATCATGCCACTTTTTGGTGTGTTCTTTGATAAACTTTGAGTTTTCGTATGCTTCCATTCTGAATTCATCTAACTCATTGAGCTGTAATAAACGCTTTTCAATGGCGTAGCCCAGTATGCCCGGTGTTCTATCTCCAATGGGAGGTGGCACGCTTTTCCAAACACTAGGCATAATGGAGACATGCCTATCAGTGTTTTGAATGCTGTCCTATATGCCCACAATGCATCGTCCAGCTTTTTAGACTAGTCCTTTCTGGGAGAATTCAATGTTACCTCTAATATTCTCTTCAACTGCCGATTAGACACTTCAACTTGCCCACATGTTTGTGGATGATATGGGGTTGCTACGCGATGTTTAACCCCATATTTACTCAATAACTACTCGAATTGGCGATTATAAAAGTGTTTGTCCCCGTCACTGATTATTGCCCACTGTGTGCCATATCTGGTAAAGATGTATTTTTTCAAAATCCCAATTACCACATTCGCGTCATTTGTTGGTAATGCAACTGCTTCCACCCATTTTGACATATAACTCATCTGCGACCAGGACGTACTGATTTGAAAACGATGGAAAAAAGGGTCCCATAAAGTCGATTCCCCAGACATCAAATATCTTGACTTCCAATATGCTGTTTAGTGGCATCTCATTCTTTCTTAAGATGTTCCAGTGCGTTGACATCTATCACACCTCTTAACAAATTCAAAGGCATCTCTGAACACTGTAGGCCAATAAAACCCTGACTGTAAGATCTTTGTGGCAGTCTTTGAAGCTCCCATGTGAGCCGCATAGGCAGATGAATGAAAATGCTCAAGAATCTTAGGTACTTCACCTTCAGGTATACACCTTCTCACAATTTGATCCACCACTTGTCTATAGAGAATAGGATTTTCCCAAAAATAATATTCTAGTTTGCCAAAGAACTTCTTCTCCTGGTGACTCAAGTAATCTGGTAGTGGGATTGACTTAGTCAAATAGTTGACGATGTCTGCATACTTGGGGCTTCTTCTGCACTGAACATCTGATCATCTGAAAAAATTTCGTTGATATCCCCTAACACTTCTGGTTCTTCATGTTCTAATCTCGATAGGTGATCTGCTACCACATTTTTGCTGCACTTCTTGTCTCGATGTCAATGTCGAATTCTTACAGCAGTAATACCCAACGGATTAATCTCGGCTTAGCATCCTTCTTTGTCATTAGATACTTCAATGCTGTGTGGTCTGTGTAGACTATGACCTTAGACCTCACGAGATATGATCTGAATTTGTCAAAGGCATAGACAACCTCCAAGAGCTCATTCTCAGTGGTTGTGTATTTGATCTGGGCATCATTCAAAGTTCGACTTGCATAATAGACCACATGGAAGATCTTGTTCTTTCGCTGTCCAAGTACTACAACTACGGTATGATCACTGGCATCACACATTAACTCAAAAGGCAATTCATAGTCAGGTGCTACAATCACCAATGCTGACGTGAGTTTCTCTTCCAAAGTGTTAAAAGCTGTCAAACATTCCTCATTAAATTCAAAGGGCACGTATTTCATTAACAGGTTGCAGAGAGGCTTGGTGATTTTTGAAAAATCCTTAATGAATTTCCTGTAGAATTTAGCATGTCCTAAGAAGTTGTGAACCCCTTTAACTGATGTTGGCGGTGGTAACTTCTCAATAACCTGAATCTTTGCTTTGTCCACCTCAATCCCTTTTGTCGAGACCTGATGCCCAAGTACAATTCCTTCCTGCATCATGAAGTGACATTTCTCCCAATTCAATATTAAATTGGTTTCCCTACATCTTTGTAATATCGGATTTAAGTGTTCCAAATACTCGTCAAATGAAGACCCAAAAATTGAGAAGTCATTCATAAATATCTCTACCATGTCTGAGAAAATCACCATCATATATCATTGAAAAGTGGCAGAGGCATTACAAAGGCCGAAAGGCATCCTACGGTATGCAAAAGTATCGTAAGGGGAAGTGAAGGTTGTTTTCTCTTGATCATCTGGTGCCACAGGTATTTGATTATAACTTGAATACCTGTCAAGGAAATAGTAATGTGAGTGGCTTGCCAATTTCTTCAGCATTTGGTCAATAAACGGAAAGGAAAAGTGATATTTCCTTGTTGTCGCATTGAGTTTGTGGTAATCGATGCAAACCCTCTATCTCGTCACCGTTCTGGTCGGTATCATCTTGTTCTTCTCATTTAGCACCACTGTGACTCCACCTTTCTTTGGCACCCCCTGAACTGGGCTAGTCCATGCACTATTTGATATCGGATATTTGATTCCAGCATCTAGAAGTTTAAGGACCTCTGTTCTGACTATTTCCTTCATATTGGGGTTCAACTCCTTTGACTTTCTATGGTTGGCCAAAAATTCTCTTCTATGAGAATCTTATGCATGCACAGTGAAGGGCTGATCCCTTTAGTATCTGCTATGGTCCATCTAATTACAGTCTTATTCTTCCCGAGTACCCTAAGCAATTTTTCCTCTTCCACTTCATTGACTGTGTTTGAGATGATGACAGGGAGTGTACAGGATTCTCCCAAGTAAGCATATCTGAGGTTTGGTGGTAATTGCTTGAGTTCTAATTTCGGTAGCTGCTGAATAGATGGTAGTGGTTTTGTGGGTCTTGTCCCAAGCTCCTCAAAATGTCTTCTGCGTGTGTACGGTGGGTTAGTATCCAAAAATCTTGCACATGTTTCCATCTCCACTGAATTAGATTGCGTTGACTACGAATGTTCAATGCAACCTTCATAGGCATCTGATAGATTGTGTAGCAAAAATGAGTATTGGACCACCTTGTCAATTACGTCGATCTAGAAATAGCTATTTGACTCTGTAGGTAATTTCATTACCTTGAAGACATTAAATGAGGCTTGCTCTTCTCCCAGTCTTAAAATCAACTGCCCATTCTAAACATTGATTAAGGCTCTTCCTGTTGCCAAAAATGGTCTGTCCAGTATTAACGGGATGTCCTTATCTTCTTCCATGTCCAAGATTAGAAAATCTGAAGGTAATATGAAATTTTCAACCTTGACAAGCACATCCTCTATTATACCCCTGGGATGTGTCAATGACCGATCAACCAGCTGCAATGTCACTATAGTTGCCTTAGGCTTTTCCAAGCCAAGTTTCTTGAAAACAGATAGAGGCATTAGATTAATACTTGCACCACGATCACATTGAGCCTTATCAAAATAAACTTCACCAATTGTTCCAAGGAACAGTAAAACTCCTTGGATCTTTCAATTTCGGTGGGAGATTTTTCTGAATTCAGGCACTACACTTTTCTGTTAGCATTACCGTCTCGTGGTTTCCTAGCTTGCGTTTATTCGATAGTATGTCCTTCAGAAATTTTGCATAGCTAGGCATCTGGAATAGTGCATCAGCGAGTAGAATATTGATGTGGAGTTTCTTGAAGACTTCGAGAAATTTCTTGTATTACTGCTCCAACTTCTGCTTCTTTAACCTCTATGGAAAATGCGTGGGAGGCTCATGAGGGTTAATGGTTGCCTTGACTTTTAATTTGCTTGGTTCTTCAGTTAAGGTAGATTTCTTCATCTGCTTGTCATGCTCTATAGTCTCTTCAATCGCAGGAGATTTTGTTTCTCGATTTATACCGGGCCATTTTACATGTATCTCGAGTAGCTGCTTTCCACTTTGAGTTGTGATTGCTTTAGCATGTTCCTTTATGTTTATTTCAGCACTGCTTTGCCAGTTAAAGCAACTGCCATCTGTCCCATCCGAGTCTCTAGATTTTTGATAGCTGCATTTTGATCTTGAAGAGTGGCCTCGATTTTCCTCATGAATTGATTATTGACAACTATGTACTGGTTGGTCTTCTCCATAAATTTATGAAACATCTCTTCCAGTTGAGGTTTTTTCTTTGGCTGGTGATACTGACCTTGTGGCCTATTTTGGTTTTAGTTGCTCCAAGAGAAATTTGGGTGTTTTTTCTAACTCGAATTGTATGTTTTCCCAATTGTGTTGTTTTGCTGCCACTATCCCAGTTGAGCAAAATCTGCCTGCTCTACTCCTTGCACCAAGATTGGACATTCTGCTGTTAAATGTTCGGCTCCATAATCCTCACAACTGGCCTTCTTTGACTCTGTTGTGGTAGCTGATTGTGTTATTTTTTCTACCTTGTGAAATAATGAATCAATTTTGGCAGACAAGTCGGAATAAACGTCTACTTCATAAACCCCCGATGTCTTCTTCTGAACTGCTCGTTCCAATGTCCACATAGCTAAAGTAGTAGCCATAGTCTCAAAAAGTTTGAATGTTTCATCAATTGTCTTTGTGGACAGTGATCCGTTTGAAGATGAGTCAACTATGCTCTTGAAGGTGGGGAGTAATCCCGCAAAAAAGTATTGGACCTAAAATCCCTTTGCTAATCCCATGATGTGGACACTTTTGCAGCATATTCTTGAACCTATTCCAGGCTTCATCAAAATTCTTTGAGTCGCCTTGATGGAAGATAGAAATATCGTGCTTGAGCTTTGTAGTCTTAGCAGGTGGGAAGAACTTGGTGTAGAATTTCTGGGCTAGATCATTCCATGTAGTGATGCTTGTGATTGGTTGCGAATCTAGCCATTCGATTGCCTTGTCGCGCAGTGTATATGTGAACAACCTTAATTTGATTGCATCGTAAGAGATTCCTTGATATTTGAAGTGTTCGCACATCTTCAGAAAATGAGAGACATGCGTATGTGGATACTCTTCAGTCCTTTCATAGAATTGATGGCCATTTTGAAATAATTGTATCACACTAGTCTTCAGTTGGAAGTTAGGCTATCCAAATGGTGGATAATGATGCTTGACTAGTTTTGAATTATTTGAGGGGTCATGAAATCTCCTACGACCATATTTTCTTCATCCGCTGCCCATTCTTCATTGGCCTGAAAAATTGGATTGTTCTGCACGTTAGCCATTTGTTGTTGTGTCTCTTTGTTTTCTCGATGCCTTCGATGTAGTGTTTGTTTGATTTCTAGATCAGCTAGGATCAATTCTCCTTCAATAGACCTTAACATGCAAATCTACGAGAAGAGTTAATAGGAGTGCATTGATGTTAAAATGAAATAATAAATAAAACAAATCAAAATAAAATTAAATAAAATGAAATGAAACATGACAAAATAACAAAAAAAATAAAATAAAAATGCAAATATGGATGTTCGAATTAGTGCCAATATAAATTAAATTAAACGAATACTCAATCCCCGGTAAGGGCGTCAAAAACTTGTTCCCGAAATTTTTTCCTTTCGATTTAAAACTATTGCAGGTGTACGGTTTGTTAACAAGTAATAAAGTGGACTATTAAGTTCCCAATATCGTCCCACAAAGATCGAGTAGTTCAATTTTATCTACTTTAGCCTTAACCGAATCGAATTTATCAAAATAGGAATCTAATCTTAGTAAAACCCTAATTTCGCTAAATGACTTGACTATGCAAACTATGTGTTTAAATGAAATTAATCACAATGTGATGATTGGAATGCAAAATCGAACGTATTCAATAAAATTAGAAAACACTAGGATCACAAATTCTTATGTAATAATCACTTGAAACCCTAATTTTACAATATGACAACACAATTTGATTATTGATGACTCAATGTTCCTAAGTCTATCCAATACACTCTCTCGAGCAATATTGAATATATTCTTATGTAGCATCAGCCTATATTTCTATGATGGATGCATACACATAAGAATGCATGGGGTTTTATGAGCAATTAATGAATCACGCAAAGCATAGAGTTATATTTCTATCCCCTATCTGACGCTACGATGACTATACCTTGTCAAATCTATTTCCCTTCTATCGAATGTAAGGAATGAATCACTACACATCACATAATTGTGTGCACTCAATCATGGACAAAATTAATGTATATAAATCATTCAAATAATCAAATATGCGTTTAATTATCAAATTGCAAAAATTAAAATCCACAGATCATATTGCATAGTTCATCGATCTCTTAGTGCTTCTTGCTGCTATTCACTATGGTTCGACCTGGTCCGTTCTGATGTATTTATTTTAACTTTTCTTGATCTATTTGACTCATTTTCAAAGCACAACACTCAAAATTCGTCCAGACCTATAAATATATCTTGTTTAGATCATAGAAAATTTGAGAAAAAATTATAGAAAATAGGGAAAGAATCAAGAAAAATAAATCAAGAACTAGCACTTTTTTTTATTCCATTTCTTACAACTCAATTTTTCCTAAACTCATTTTCAATCACACATTTTAAGGTACTTAGTATTTACAACTTTTATCAACTTCTAAATCACACATTTTACTAACTTTGATCAAAATCTACAAGGAAAAAAAAAGAAAAAAGAAGAAGAGGAATTATCCAAATCAAACATGGGCATAATTTCAATTCACATGACTCTTTATTTTAATTCTTTCATGTTTTATTTCAATTTTTCTTATTGTTTTTGAAATAATTGGTGACTATTTCAATGAATTGTAAATTTATAATGAATAGGGATGTATTTAAATTATTTAATTCGATAAAAGGTTGATATACACTTTTATCCTTGTTTGGCCTCCATTTGAATGAGATTTTAGGGAAAAAAGTTTCATGGGATAGTATTTTTTGTGGAATGTGAGGCTAAAGAAGAAGGAAAAGATTTTTGTTTACGTGTAATATTATTTTATCAAAAAAATGTGTGATTGAAAAGATGGAAGAGCTCTAGGTGATATAATATGTTTAGTTGAGGCTTATTCTAATTCACAAAAAGTTGTAGTCGGTGAATTCCGTTAGATAGGAATGAATTGAATTCAAAAGTGGTAAGTTTGATTGAAGTAGTTAATTTGATCGAATACAACTTTAGGAATCGAACTTCAGATCCGAGATTGAAG